CCTTATCTGTCTGATCAGATGATGTACACTAAAACTCCTGATTGTTACCCATGTTACCTTTGCCTTATCTGTCTGATCAGATGATGTACACTAAAACTCCTGATTAGTTACCCATGTTACCTTTGGAATACCATTTTTTTACATCTTCAATCCCAAAAAGCTGCAGTTCATCTTTAATACTAAAAAAAACCACCCCACCTGTATTTCAAAAAGTCAACAAAACGTAGCATTTTCCTACACTGAAAATGTATTTACAATAGATATTTACAAAACATCTTTTCTCAACTAGCACTGCCCTCTATCAGTGCAAATTTTCAATGCACACCACTAGCCTTCTACCTTTAGCTTCTGCATCTCCACATGCAAATGTTCATGCAGCAGCTCTCCACCAATAATGACACCACTCCTGTTGTAACCAGTGCCCTCTTCACATCTGCACCCATTAATTACCTCGAGATTGGTCAAAGACATACATAATATGTCTTCAGATGTGGGGTAGATGGGTGGGAATGTGAGCTGGGATAAGTATCTATCAGAAATACATTTTCTGTGTAGGAATATGCTAACTTCCGATATGATATCTTACCTCTTCTCATAAAACAGCTAGATTCCCACATTGAACTGGTGGAGGGCTGATAGAAAAAAAGATCTCCCTTTAGGTAGTGCCCAATGAGAGACCTGGAGGTGTGTAACCAAAATAGAAAACATCACACCTCAGTTAGAGACCGCACCATATCTGATCCAGGTATACTCTTCACTCTATTATGACTGTGTCATGAACATAAAAGGAGGAAAAACATGAAGGAATCCAAAAATATGTATGGCAGATGAATGGGACACCTGGGGGTCACGAGGCTAGGGTTTGATAAACTGTAGTGGTAGTTTGACCTCACATCAAATCCACAGTAGCTAGAGAATCATCTGCCTCTTCACCTCCAACTGCAATAACAAATATATATATATATTCGTGACATGGAGGATTGCTTCAACCAAAACTTGGTGACATCTGGAATTGTACATCAGGTCTGCAGTAGAAAGGTTGTCATGCCATCTACACATGACCAAACCAACTCCAGAGGATGGTAGGAAAAAACAATTGATCAGATATATAAACAGGAATATGGTGTAGTGCTACAACCAAAACCTGGCAGCATTTGGAATTGCACCTCAGGTCTGCTGTAGGAAGTGTGATACACCAATGACACCTACAGAATGCTATTTCCCTACTCTCAACTGAACTAAGTGGTATAATTCATCACTGAGGAGGACAGGCCTCCATGGTAAATCACCCCCAGCAGCTAGGAACTGCAATTCTGATGGCTCATTCTCATGTTATATAGTGGAGGAGATCTCGTCATGTACACCAGGAGAACACCACTGCTATACTCTCAACTGAATGGTTTTATAATCATTTATATATATATTATCTATATTTCACTAACACATTCAGGAGGATGCCTCCATGGTCCACCACCCCAGCAGCTTGGAACTGGAAAGTGGTAAGGACTCTCAAACTCCACCAGAAGAAAAGGAAGGGGGGAATACATTGGAGAGTCAATAGGACTGCATCACCAGAGACAGTGCAATGGGTGTCTGCAATATCCTATCTTTAAAAGCAGAGATACCACATCATTGGAGTCGATCAACCAAAACCTGGCGGCATCTGGAATTGTACATCAGGTCCATAGTAGGAAGAGTTTCAACACCATGGAGCATCAGAGATGGGTAGCAATCTCATGTTAGTCCATGAATGCACAGTCTGGGATGAACATATTTATAAGCAAAAACTACTAGAGAGAATTAATAAAAGTCCTACAGAACACCCCATCTCTACAGTGTGATAACTCAAACCTGTGATGTAATAGTTTAGCCATAGGTAACAATAAAATGAAAACACACAACCAACAACTAGCAGCATCTGGAATTGTACATCAGGTCAGCAGTAGGAAGGGCTATCATGTAATTGACATCAAGCATGGATAGACAAAGCAGATTTTCAATAACAAAAAGTATACCTGATCAGGCACCACTTGCCACAAAGTGCGATCCCCAATACACTGGCAAAAAGACCCCTGAAGAAATAAGAAAAGTATTAAAAAAAGAAAGCAACTTTTCACAATACCAAAATGTGAAAATATAAATAAATAGTAAAAAAAACAACAAAAAAACAAAGCCATTACTCTAACAGAAAATGCTGACAAATCCATGAGCAAAAACAATCTGTCTGTACAGTAGTACTACCAATCGAGAAGTGATTAAAGAGTGCAGATATTAAGAGGGTGCTGGTTATGATAAGAGTGGTATCGTGCTCCTATTGGTGGAGAGCTGCTGCATGATCACTTCATGTGAATATCCAGAAGTCGGAGGTGGAAGGCTAGTGGTGTGCATTGAAAATTTGTGCCAATAGAGAGCTGGTGCTAGTCGAGAAAAGCTATTTTGTGAGAGGAGGTGAGATATCATATCAGCAAAAGAATATTTTTCACTTTATGTAATGTTTGATAATTGATTTTATATAATCTCTTGGAGATACCAAAGACATTAAATAATACACAATTCTGGAGCCAGTGGTAAATCATCACATTAATATCTAAAAATATGACATTCATATACTGATATAAAAATTTGTCTTACAAATCTCTTCAAACAAGTTATTAATATTGAAATTGGCTGGAATTGTACATATTCATATTTTCACTTTTCTTTAATATTTAAAGAAAAAACTTGCGTATGGTGACAATTAGAAACAAACATTTTATCATGAAATAACCACCTTCTAGTGTTTCTCCTTTCTGTACTGAAGAAGTAGCAGCTTCCATATGAATGACCTGACCACCAAGTCGTTGCATTGCTGCAGTAAAAGAGCAGCTAGTTCGAGTGCTAACTTCGTAAAACACAGAGGCAAGAACTTTTCCCTGAAATTTAATCAAATAATTTCAGAGCTTGATATTTATGACACATAACCTTACACATAGTTAAGGTTAATACAGCACAGCTTCATCGATTTAAGATTATTACAGCAGAGTTTCCTAAAGTTAAGGTTAACACAGCAGAGCTTCACAGAGTTGAAATTTACAGAGCAGAGATTCACAGTTAATTTTTATACAGCAGAGCTTCATTGAGTAAAGGTTAATACAGAAGACCTTCACACAGTTAAGGTTTATAAAGCAGAGATTAACAGAGTTAGGGTTAATACAGAGAGCTTCAAAGGGTTATGGTTTATTCAGCAAAGATTCGCAGAGTTAATTTTTGCACAGCAGAGCTTCACAGAGTTATGGTTTATACAACAGAGCTTCACAGATTTATGGTTTACACAGCAGAGCTTCACAGATTTATGGTTTACACAGCAGAGCTTCACAGAGTTATGGTTTATACAACAGAGCTTCACAGAATTATGGTTTATACAACAGAGCTTCACAGATTTATGGTTTACGCAGCAGAGCTTCACAGAGTTATGGTTTATACATCAGAGCATCACAGAGTTATGGTTTATACATCAGAGCCTCACAGAGTTAAGGTTTATACAGCAGAGCTTCATACAAATAATGTAATAAGCACGATTGCTCTACATTCTCCTTAGAACCTATGTATTGAGCATAACTGTTCTACACTGTTCCTTAAAACCTCAATCTGTATGATTGTTCTAAAATGTTCCTTAAAACCTCAATCTGTATGATTGTTCTACAATGTTTTTTAAACCTCAATCTGTATGATTGTTCTACAATGTTCCTTAAAAACCTGATTGAACAATTTTGCACATTGAGGTTGTAAGGAACAGTGTAGAGCAATCACACACATTATGTATGTTGTAAGAAACAATGTAGAACAATCATACATGCCACAGATGTTTTAAGGAACAGTATAGAACAATCATGCACATTGAGGTTGTATGGAACAGCAAGGACCATTCATGTTTTGTGAACGATTAATGCACTATCTGTTGACAATGGGCTGATTCCAAATTATCAGACAAGATTTCATCTCACTGCTTATTTCTAATGCTTTCCCTAGTTCTTTGTTTGTTTTTTTGAAGGGTAAGATTGCTCTTGTTGCTACCAATATCCTCAACAAGACACCAATGTACTTGTAATGGCTGGAGACGGCTTGAATGGGTAATGAAGAAAAACTTTAATATAAGTTTAACATAACAGCAAATGTGCAACGTTTCAACAAGGTTTTGTCATCATCATCTTTGGGCCCTTTGTTGATTACATACTAGACATTGTGTATGTTCACATTATGTTGATTCATGTCATAATTATACTGTACTGCAAAGTGCTGTACACCTTTTTCTTGATTATATGGTGCCTACATCATACATTCTGCCCTGTATATTTCACTGTTTCATTACTGGGCAAGGAACATATCTGTTCCAAAAGTAGTGCTATACCCTACTGGTGTGCTTTACTTTTTTCTTTTGGCACACCTGTTCTTTTCAGGTGTTTGATATCCACTTATTTGAATACTGTCATGCCTTCACCAGCCCCTCTACCTTTTCAATGTGGGATTCTAGCTTTGGATGAGACGAGGAAGTACCATTTTGGAAGTTAACATTTTCCTACACTGAAAATGTATTTCCAATAGGTACTTACCTCTCCCCATCTACTTCCCACCCTTCCTCCCAACTGATATGCTGGTGTTTTAGTTTGTAACATGTTCTGAAATGACATGCAAATATAGGGTTGTAATAGACTGGTGCACTATTAGCTATTAAGTACCTATTGGAAATACATTTTTGGTGTAGGAAAATGTTAACTTACATGTTATAAGGAACAGTGTAGAGTAATCATGCACATTGAGGTTCTAAAGAACATAGTAGAACAAACGTACACTGAGGTTTTAAGGAACAGCACAGAACAATCATGCACACTGCGTTGTAAGTAAAAGTGTTTATGTGATGTAAGAACAATTAGTCATATCATAGTAAGGTGCCATGGTAATGTGATATATGCATAAGTGGCTATGGCTAAAAGACCGTAAATTGTATATGAATGGGCCCAGTGCGATCCACCCGGGCAAAAAACATCCAGGGAAAGCACCATGGGATATGTCAAATTATGCCAGTGCAGTCCATCTGGGCAAAAACAACTGTGGAAGTGTCTTAAATATATAGTATTATGGCCAAGTGCAGTTAGCCTGGGCCAAACATCTGGGAAAAGCACCTTGGATCCAGAATATTATGTTATTGCCTATTCATTGATTAGCCCTCTTCTTGCTGAGTGGGTACATATAAGTTATGAGTTTGATTTCTTTCATTGCAAAACCCCATAAAGGAGGAAACCTCTATGGTCCACCAATCTGGCAACTGGAGTGGTAAGGACTCCTGTACTCCACTAGAAGAAAAAAAAGGGGAAGAATACAGATTGAGAAGTCCAGAGAAAGGACACACTGGAGACTGTGAAATGAATGTTTACAATTTCCTATTTTGAAAAGCAGAAAGACCCAGATTGTAAGTATCACAGGTCAGTGGGTATGGGTTTTTATATCCATCTGCTTTACTCATGAAGTCCATGAGTAGCGGTCCTTTTTATAAAATACATTTATAATAAAAGTTTGCTATATATACATACCATCAGAAAAGCAATCTGTGGTCTTTCAGAAACACCCCATCTCTACAGCAAGCATTTAGAAATATACATGTTTAGTGTAAAGATCTAATATTCAGCATACCTGACCAGGTAACACCCCCTACTAAATGGGATCCTACTGAAAAAGATACAAAATAATAACAAATTAACTTACCCAAGTCAAAGACAAACAGACTGATTGAGAATTGCCAAAGGAGGAAGATGATATCCGATTAAGGAAGACACAGCCAAATCGTGCATACAGTATGCTACGAATGTATTAGGAGTCATCCACATACCAGCTTGAATGATCTCCTCCAAAGGCTGATGGATTCAAGCTAAGGATATAGTTAAGTGATGGATTTGGTGCATTGAAACATTGTGCAGCCAATGACCTTTCATGGACAAGTCAAAATACGCTATCTGTACGAGTTGCTGAACACAGCTAGTAAGGGTAACAGGATATAGGCCTTGGGAAACAGAGGGATTCTATGGAATAAATAGGTGGGAATGGGAGCCAGAAAAGGAGGCACTACAAGATACATAAAATTGCAGGGAACGCATAGGACAGAGAAGACGATCTGGATCCGAATGTGAGCACAGGTGGGAAACAGACATTAAGGAAATGGGAGAAAAGGTGAAACAACATTTACGAGTGGCAGCTGTCTTAGGAAGTTAGGCCCGATCTGGATAAAATATGACATAAGAGGAATAGTAAAGAATAAGGGAAACTTTAAAGACATAAACATAGGAATGACGATGACCACATGCCAGGAGAAGAAGAAAATATCTTAATGGAAAGATGGTACGAGAAACATGTATCAATGGGTTCAAAAGAGAACCATATAGGGTATGAAGAACAACAATGAGATCCCAATCTAAAAGAACAAAAGGATGTGGAGGATGAATAAGGGGAAAGGAATGGAGAAGGAGAAAATAATTAGGGAAATGAAAGATTTACAAATCGGGAGAATGGAATGTCTGTAACAGAGCATCCTGAGAACTAGCAACCATTAACAAGGACAAATCCTGATCAACAACCAGATAAAGAATTGAGACAGATGAAGAATAGAAGAACTGGAAGGAAGGATGCCACAGCGAAAGGTCTACCACCTGAAGGTAGACCAACATCTCTGGTACACAGGCAATGACAAAGGTCGAATGGTACAGGTAAGAAAGACACTACACGACGAGTGAGTCCTTGAGCTGAGGCGAAGGACCAGACAAAAGCCACATGTGAAGATGGAGTTTGGTGACACCTGGATGAAATACATCTAATCGCAGTTGTTGGAGGAGTAATCCGGACAGAAGTAAGGGCTCCAGTAATGGTCAGAGCAGAGGGAACAACATCTGAGACAACCAATATGAAGCAACTAGCAAAACATGACAAGGAGTGGTCTGGACGATGGAAATGACCCTGGAGATTAGTCTGAGAAGAGAGTAAGCATATAGATGAAGGCCACTACAATCCTGCCTGAACACATCCACCTCCAGAACTGAGATGTGTGGAACAGGAGACCAAAAAAGAAGATAGTTTTTCATTCCAGTGAGTGGCAAATGCATCTATATGTGGTGTTCCTAGGCGAGAACACACCCACTGAAATACTTGAGGATGAAGGGACCACTCCATAGGTAGAACTTGGTTGAGACAAGAGAAGCAGCCAGCCACCAGATTCAAAATTTCGGGAACATGACATATTAAGATGGTTAAATTCTAAATGTGGGCCAAGTACAGGAGGTGGAGTGTCTGAAAACACAAAGACTAGTACTTGATTTCCCCTTGTTTGGTGATACAGCAGATGACAGTGGAATTGTTGGAATGAACCATCACCACCCACCCCTGGAGGAGCAGGAAGAAATTAGGCATAACCCAATGAACAGCCAAAAGATCGAGAAGGTTGATATGGAATGTAGTTTCCATGATTAACCACTGTCCCAAAATCCCCCTGGATTCAAGGAAAGCTCCCCAGCATACTAAGGAAACATCAGTGAAGAGATGAGCATCACCTGGGCTTCCTTGGAAGCTCCCATCCCTTAAGTCAGGCACATATGCATTCCCTTCAGTGGACATCATCAACCAGTGTAACTTCTCCCACAAATTCCTTGGATCATCTTATCCTCCTCCTTCCTGGGATCAGGGTTGACCTTGCATGGTGGTCGACAGGGAAATGATCACAGTGAGGGTTCCCATTCCTCTGCATTATCCTCGCAAAATACAGAACCTCTCACACACTGAGAGAAGGCGAATGTACTGCCTTCATGACTGCCCAGTCCATATCACAGTGGAGAAGGCTGGTAATTGAAGAGAACCCCAAAATGAATAAGAAATTATGTAGGGGTTAGAAGGGACTTCTCCAACTTTATAAGAAACCCAACCCGTGTAGCTTCTCAAAGAAGTAATCAGAGGTGAGAGAGTGATTGAGCCCGAGAAGAGGCAAGCAGAAGCCAGTCGTTCATGTAAGGAAGAGTCTGAAGATCCAGCAAGTGAAGATGATGAGCAAATGGGTGAATTACTCAACAGAACGCATAAGGAGCTGAAGCCAGAGACCAAAGGGCAGTGCATAGAACTGAAAGACACAGCCCTCATGGATGAGACAAAGAAAACGATGTGACCCTGTATCAAAGTGGATCAAAGTCCCCAGATTCGAGAAGATTCAGATGTTGGGAATCTAAAAAGGTATTTGAGGCTGCTGGTAAGCCAACAAATATTGGTCCATCAACCTGAGAGGGACAGGGCATACCCACACCTAACAGCAATTGATTAGCAAAATGTTGAGCATGAATTCGGATGTCAGATGAGGGAAGAAAAACATCTGACATACCTGATCATTAAGGTGTAGAAGCAGCGAGGTCAGCAAACTCTCCTGACTGTCAGTATTATGTGAATAACCAAAAAAGGTTGGGGCTGGAAAAAATAGTCCAAATTATCTTCACTGTGAATAAATTCTTCCTCAGAAGCTTGTTCTGGTGGAAAGGGAAAACGAACTGACTGCTGAGCAAAAGTGTCCAACTCCCTGCAAATTAAGGCTTGAACATCCTTGGTAGATATTGTCAACCTACCTTGTGGGGGACAAATGACATTACTATCCTCAATATTGATGTGAACTTTGCCATCCACAACCATAAAATTTGAATTCATATTTCGAATTAGAATCAAATTATGGAAGAATTCTTCGAAAAATGAAACTAACAATTGAAAGCAAACGCTTTAATTTTAAACTGGTGAAGGGCTGAAATGCAATCACAATGCAAAAGCAAGCACATGGAGCAAGGTAAACACATGTTTATACACTGTAATGTCAATCAAGAAAGTGAGGATTGTGCTAGAATAGTAGAGGTAGCTACCTAGACTAGTATAGGTGACACAGTATGATTGGTGAAAGGTAGTCACATGATATGCACATGTTCTGAAATGGCACAAAAATAAAGGGGTATAATAGACTGGTGCTCTATTAGCAAAAATATTTTTAACAATGCTTAGAGGGCAAATCAAAGTCGATATAGCTTTGTGTGAGCATGATTGTTCTATACTGTTGCTTACAACCTCTATGTTTATGTTCACTGTTCCTTACAGCCTCAACGTGTATGTTTGATTTACACTGTTCCTTACAACCTCAATATGCATGATTGTTCTATTCTGTTCATTTAAACCTTAGTGTGCATGATTGTTCTACACTGTTCCTTACAAGATCAATGTGCATGTTTGTTTTATGCTGTTCCTTGTAATTCAGTAATGTGCATGATTATTCAACATTTTTCCTTACAACCTCAATGTGCATGTTTGAGAAATCTGCTGTGGTTGGAAGCTTAAGAAAACAAAATTTTACCTTCAACACATGATCCAATGGTCTATCTTTTGAGACACACAAACGTAATGTGTGAGCTATGTTGAAAAGAGCATGAAGCTGAAAAAGAAATTGAAATGATGTAACATTGCAAAACAAAAAAAGGCAAATGAAATAATGAATAAAGTATTTTAACTGCAAAAGGAATAAAAGTGAAACACACAAAAATAAGTTATTTTATTATAGAGTAAATGCAAACTCAAAATGTTAAAAAAAGGAACTCAACTTTATCTATTCAACTGGCATTTGTTCAGTTTTTAAATATGACATTTTCAAAAGATAAATACTAATACATCAGTTTTATTATATATATATATATATATATTTACGTACACACATACATAAATGCATACTTAACTTGAATTTGTAATTTCATAGTCATGTTTTATTTTGTTATCTGGCAAAATACAAAGCAACAGGATAATTTCTTTATTTACACCTGTTATATTCAGATTTTTCCAATTTTGTATGATAAGCAAACACACTGAGAAATCTTTGAGAAATAAATCAGATATATCTTACCTGATAAAGTGACCAGCCTTATAATATAAATACTGCTAAATATTTATGAAACAATTTACAACATTAAAAACAAGGAAAAGTTTATGGTAAAATTTGTTTGATCGTAAGTTTATATCAAATATTTCATTCAAAATTTTAAAATCAGGTTTACAACTAATGCCTCATTGAAAAACAAGCCCAAACAGTTCTTCCCACTTGCTTGTAGAACCAGATAAGTGTCCACTACAAAGTTTGTGATGTGGTTTATCAGGACAGAACTTTGTTAATGTTATATCTAAGGCAGCTAAACCTTGTTATACAGGCTATCACTGAAGATATTTTGTGACTAACAGAGGTAAGTTCCATTATACAGACTATGTTATGTCTAAAGCAGTTAAATCTTATTACACAGGCTATCACTGAAGATATGCTGTGAATAATAGTTAAATTTCATTATACAGACTATGTTATATCTAAAGCAGTTAACTCTGTGTTAGTCTTCTGTAAAAAAATTCCATACTCATTCTCTTGGGTTCGATCAGACTCCATCATAAAAAAAATAATTTAAAAATATACAAATAACAATAAACTATTATTTTGGAAACAAAAAATTAACACTGAAACTCCTTTCCTTTATTAATCAATAAATGAACATTGAATATTACAACTTGTTTCTTTTTTTCCACCTAAACTAAGTGTAACAATTTAACACAAACTAGTCAAATACTGAAGCTACTGAGAACAACAAACATGTATGTGCTTCCATCTGTCGGCACTGATGTTTACAAAATATTTGGGTCCAAGAAGTCCCCGGAAGACTAACACAGGGTTAAACCTTATTACAGAGGTCATCACTGAAGATAGTTTTGACGAACAGAGTTAAGATCCATTATACAGACTATGTTATATCTAAAGCAGCTAAATTTTGTTATACAAGCTATCACTACACTATCTCTACACTTTTCTTTAGCCAAATTTTTCAAGCTATGACTGCTTTGTGTGCTTTTAGGGAAAAAACCCTTCAAATTGAAGTATATAAACTTGAATTACTACATGTTTAGAGTTATTTGAAATGAAAATAAAAGAACTGGCAGTATTACAGCTAATTGCGAAGTTATCATAAGCGATAGTAATTTCAGTAGAAAGCAATTGGACAATGTACTTAAAAAAACACACACGCACTCTCTATTCTAGTTGTGACACACATTTTTTTTTGCATAATTCATAACTGCAAATGACAGGTAAAACAGTATAATCCTGTAACATTTGTTTCCAATAAGGGGAAAATTACTACTAAAATAAAATAATAAAATATCCATTTTGTAACTTTTGAAGCTGAATGTTTAATAGCAGACATAATTTAATATAAACTGTGAACACAACTCTCTGAACAATCTATCTATTTAACAACCAATGCTTTGGTTGGTACTAAAAAAAAGAATAACGTGTTTACTTCAAGCAATAAAGAGTTAAAATAATATCACCTGACATTCTGATATCCAAGCATTTACCACATAAACAAAGATGATTTAGTGAGTTGGGTCTTAACCCGGACTAGTCAATTTATAAATCATCTTTGCTTTCAATGTATGTTTTGTTATTACACCAGGTCTTGCTACAAATGAAACAGTAATATGAAATGGGTCTTTCTGTGACCTTGCCATCTAGAATTTATCTACATATATATAAGAAATTATATCAGATCTTATATTATACTCCAAGAAACTTTTTATCTCCCTGTGACCTGCACTATTAACCTTCAACTTGAGTTTATCTACACACACATATATATATGTCATTTTAACAGATCTGATATTATAATGTAAGAATTTTTTTTTTACCCTCTGAGACCTTCACCATTAACCTCGAGGACATCTTTTCATTTAAACTAATTACATCCTATGGCTCATAACACATCTTAATTTGACTTCTGTGACATTCAATAACACCCTTAGGGATTCATTTTTAAAAACTAGTTACAATCCATGGGTCATAATTCAGTTATGTTTGATAATAAGTAAGTATGAAAAACTAGATAGACTTCTGTGTGATATTTACCCTTAACTTAAGCAAACTACAGCTAATAACTACATAACTCACTTAGGATTGTAAGAAATATTATGATAAATTTGTTTGACCTTTGTGTAACATTCATTATCAACTTTAAAGACATTATTGAAACATGGCCTTGGGGTCAATTGGACAATTTAGAATAATAAGGAAACAAAACTACCACTTAACAAAGTATGACAACAAGAAAAGAATAAAATGGATTCAAACTCTGCAGTACCTTGAACCTTCATTCTGAAAATTGGTTGACCTTTATGAAAAAACCATCATGTCAGTACTAATATCTTTATATACAACCACTATAATCTTTATTTTAATGTCCACTTATTAGGTGGCATGACTAGCATATTTCACAAAATCTTTGAGAAACTACAGTGAAAGGACATTAAAGAAAATGACAAGTCTTTTAAAAAACATCAAATGACAGGGAAGGAGAAATCTGGAAAAAAAAAAACCTTATTCCCCTTCCCAATTCACACACTCTTTCACTGACAAAGAACTATTCCTATACACTTGGGTAAGTTTCCACTGCAAAAGTTAATTACTAATACATCAGAATTCAGATAGAGTAACTAAGGATCATTTCTTAAAAACTTAGTAAAAGTCTAGTGAAACTTTAATTAAAGAATTTTTATATTAGAATAGTAACATGCCTATACAAGAATGGCTATCTTCAGAAGGAATTCATTTGGTTAAGATGGAGAATTTATCCATCGATAGTATTAATAAAACACAAAAGCAGTAATAGATAAATGTAAAAAACCATTTTGTGGCAAAAATGAGTATGGCCTTGAAAGATAGTGTCAATAAAACACCAAAACAGGTTGTAATAGGTAAATGTAGAAACCACTATGTGACAAAAATGAGTATATTCTTACCCAAGTGTCAATAAAACACAAAAACAGGTAGTAATGCATAAATATGGAAAACCATTATGTGGCAAAAACACATCTATGTCCTTGACTGATAGTGTCAATAAAACACAGAATCATGCAGTAATGAATAAATGTAGAAGACCATCTACAAAGTGTTAACAAAAAAGTGTGAAACACAACAAATTAATGGAGCAAACTAAATACAGCATACACTAACTATGTTTGTACATTATTATTATTAATATAAAAAAGTTATATTTCTTGAACTGTCAAACATTATAGAGTAAAAGTGCTTTATTCATCCTCTTATTTACAACAATGCTTTTATTGTTAAAATAATTATCTTAATTGTTTCTTCCATTTGAACTCCGTTATTATTCACCTTTTGCCCATTTCTGTCAAACTTTTTCAAATAATTCTTATTCAACGAATGAAATACTGGAGAATATTTGTGATAAATGTATTTTACTCATTTTACTTTCAGCTTATTTTAAAAATTATAGATTAGTTGCTTATCTTTTATATATATATTGTTTTATTTTCATAACTGTGTTTAATAACATTCATGTAACTTTATGTTTACTTCATTAAGTTGTTGTGTTTTACCATTTGTGAGCTCATGTTATTTTGTTTAAAAATATTTAAGATCCTTAATAAAAGTAATAATAGTTATGGTATTAATTAAATTACATCACAGACTTCAGGCATTTTATTGGTAGAATTTTTCTGATAGAAGACAAAATGGTGAAATAATTTCGAGCCAGAACTATTTGCAAGTTCAATTTAGTTGCCTGAAGGTTTGATGTCAGAGAAAATGTAAACAAAAAACATATAGCTTGTATGGAGATAAAGTATGTTGTTGTTTTCAGTGCAGAGCGACACACTGGGTTACCTGCACTCTGCCCACAGTGCTGTCTTAAGGCACAGGCTAACTAGGCTGTAACCCAGGGCCCCAAACCTTCCAGGAGTCCCCATCGAAAATATAATTAATTCAAGTGATGTGCTAAACTGTGTTTGTTTCTGCTGTCTGAGCCAAATTCTCAAGAAGACAATTAATTTCTGTATTTTATACTTATACTGAGATGAAAGCTATCATTTTGTAGATTTCTGTAATTTTTAAAGTAACTATTATTCTTGTTTATTAGATCCAATAAAACCTAATGTTTTCACATCTTAACTATTGCTGAAATCTCATATTTTTGTATGTTTCTTTAATTTCACTTATGTAATATCAGTTAGCAGCTGCACATTTGCCATTTTCTCAACTCTTTTGTAATATTCATTTTAGCTTGTAAAACTTTATCTTTTATCAAATAACATTATTTTTGTGATTACCCCAGTATATTGTTAGAATGAACAAGTGGTCCTATCAAAGTGGTGCTGCAAAACGAAAAAAAAAAAAAAAAAGAATAGTAAGTTAACAAAAGTGACTTTACTTTTTCAAATACAAAATTCTGTATAATCAGTCCCATCATCATCATTTGCATCAACAAGTTTTATCCCTGGTGAAAAAGATAATGATAAGAAAGTTACTGCTTCATCATCTACTGATGATGCAGATCATTATCAACACAAGGTAATATCGGAAGCATCACTGTTGACAACAGCAACAAG